ATTTTAAAAAATTCTATATTAAAAATTCTTAAAAACCTTTGAAGATTTTTGAAGATTTCTCCAGAAATTTTCAAAAAATTTTTTTGGGTAGAGATCTCCAAAGATCTTCACCAAAAAAATTTCCTAATGAGATGCAATAGCTGTCTACTAGAATCATCCTCTAGTGGCTTTTGCATATTGTTTTTCACAAGTCCTATAGCATTGTCATTATGAGTAGTCTCAAATTTCAACAGTCCAAATAAACATCGACTATATAACATAATCAGTGAACTGTCAATTATACCACAACAAAGAGAAGACATTCTTTAATTCATTGACAACTTTTCTATTTCTTCTCCCATTTCTGCACTCCAAAGAATTGGCTTCTGTCAACAGTACCATTTTCAACTCCACCAAAACAAGATCTTTGCAAACAGTACAAAAATTATTCCAACTAATTCAGAACACCTCCTAGGAGACTTCCTTCATATAATAATGGATATTTTGCATTGGTGCCTATTAAATTGTACCATAGAAATAAGAAGCAACAAAAAAATTCTCCAAGAAGTATTCAACTATCCAAGAAGTCAACTTCGCTCCAATAATATTAAAAATTAACAAACTAATACAAGACAAATCAATTCAAATCAGATATACCAATCCTAAATCCAATCCAAGATTTGATGACACTCTTCAATAGATCAATTCACCACTTCACTTCTCTGAAAGTCCTCTAATCAACAATCTACAGTTAGGCAGCAGTGTCAGATGGTGCAAGAAAATTCTAAGCATTATCAAGACCTATATAATCTGTGAAAGTTTATCAGTTCTAAAAATATTTGATTATATTTACAAACTCCATAACCTCAAGATTATTAACAAATCCAATCAAAAAATAAAGAATTTCAAAGCCAATAAGTACAGCAACCTTATCACCTTCAGAATCAAACTGCTCTCAGGAATTCTTCCTATAAGAAAAAACTTTCACAAACTATATCCAGAACAATATCCTGATCCATATTGTCCCTGGTATAGTCTATATACCGAGGATATCAAATATGTCTTCAAATGCTTATCAGCTTCAGGAGATATTAATCAACTTATTAACACTATTAACAACATTTTTCATCCTAACAGTGATCACAAGCCAATCTCACATGCCTGGCAGCTAGCAGAACTGGCATGCGGCATCACTGATAATATCTTCTCCACTATCAATTTCTTCAACTGGGTCGAAGCTTCAATCAAGATCTTAACTTGTCTATATAAATCAATCTGGATATCTCATTGTGCTATAACAAATACTTCTCCTCTTACTAGTATCAAATGGAACAATAACTTTCATATAGGGCTCCAAAAAAATACTGAACTGGTATCAAACTGGTATCAAAATGGTACTGATCTATAGTAAATTTAATATATGGGTTGTGACCTACTCATATATTTTTATAGTAAATTTAAGTATCGAACTGGTATCGAACTTGTATCGTTAAGAGCCCTAGGTATTTCTCATGTTCATAATTTATGTTTCTTCAATACCTATTTGATATCTTTAGGTTCTTCACATATGTTTATCTCCTTCTTTTGTTTTTTTGTTCCATACCATAAAGTTATGCTCAATTACCATTGATTGTCATTGTCCATTAAAGATTATGTCATGCATTAGTGGAGATTTTTCTCTTAGAGCCTTATTTATCTTGTTAGCAACTAATGCATCAGTTGCAGACATACATGTTACTAAAATTTGTAGATCTTTGACACAATTGACATAATTATTTGACACAATTAATTAAGTCACTATTAAAACATATAAATAATTGAATCATTATGCAATTATTTTTGAGGATTTTGGGAATTAAGTCAACAGCAAAATAATTTACACCACATGTATAGTTGCAAATACTATATGACTAGTAGCATTATCAAATACAAAAATGCCAATAGCATTAATATATATTCTCTCAAAGATATCTATCAGCTTTTCTCCATTCCAATACCCATCATAACCCATCTCTAAAACTATAATTTCTTGTGCTTCACTTTGATTATCTTTGAGGCGACTAATTATTTCTGTCAAGAACTTACTAATATGAATACCTTGACCAAGTCCTTTCTTTCAAAGGAGTTGTTCATTCTTGGATGCCCAAAAAACATGTGGCCTATCATAAGCATGGAAAGTATTCTTGTTATATATTATTCATATATGCTCTTTTTCACCAAAAGATAAATTAGGATAAGTATGAATTCTGCATTTGACGTCTTCAAATTTGGACATGATCTTTTTATATTCAGAAACCTGTTCTAAAAAAATAATATAATACTTAATAATATCTTCACATTCATATCCATCTACATAAACATTTTTTTGATAATGTTTATATCGAAATCCCATTTTGTATATCCAATTATATGCCATGCGTATACAAATGAAAACAGGTGAATCGAATTCCAGATCAGGAAGAACTTTTTCTTTGAAATACTTTTTTACCATATGTGGTGTAACATGGAATTTTTGTTAACAAAGGAAGCTGATGATGCAAAGAGAAACTAATTTATCATAGAAAAGGATTTTTGATGGAAACTTGTCATGCCAACTTGGTGAAATACATTCACCTATATGGATAAAATAATAAATAATTTAAATACAGACTAAATATCAAGAAACAATATTTTACCTTTCAAGTATATATTTGTTTATTTACAAATTAATTTTTCACAGCTTTCTGCATATCCATTAATTGTAGCAATTGTTAAACTAGCTTCTATATGCCCAAAATAATTTTTTGGGATCAGATGCAAAAAATAAATAACCGATTGATAACAGATAAGATCACCTTTTGATAAAGACTTCTCTTTAAAAATCCTTTTGATGAAATTAATTGTCTCATATATCTTTTTAGCATCAAGCTCTTTGTTGTTTTTACTATTTTCCATACTATTATTATTTATATTTCTATCATTTTTGTCATTACTTTTCACATTTCTATTATCATTGTCATTATTACTATTTACTTGAGAATTGTCTCTAATCTTCGAAAAATATAATATAAGAGATATTGTATCTTTAGTTATAACTGCTCTTGCCTTACATTTTTATCACTGGTTCTTAATTGAATTTCCAGTATATCATAAGACTCTTTTTTTATTGTAATGGATCTAGGCACCTTTAAACAGTTTCTGGAAAAGGTCTTCTATATTATTGTTATTTCTAAACTCTTCGATATTAAAATATAAAATCTTCTCTATATTGCTGTCATTTTCAAACTCCTTGATATCAAAATCCAGAATCTTTTCATTTCCTGAGCCTTCTGAAGAGAATGAAGAAAGATCTATGGTTGTCACTTGTTCAACAGTTGCTACAGATAGATGCCTATAGCTTTTTAAGTTCTGTCATCGAGTTAATGTATATTTAGATAGTCTTGTCATTGAAACAATTTACTTTTTTATTGATTATTATGCGATTGATAAAAAAAATCATTCATTATATGTTACACAATACAACTAAAAAAAAGCGGCCAAATTTAAAGATTAACACTAAAAGTATTCAAACTTTAAGAAATTATATTATAACAAGAAAGTGAAAATTCAAAAATTGATTTTCTATAAATTGTTCACAGTCCATTTCTTTACAAATCTATAGAGTTATTTTTCTTGTATCACTTTCTTGATTATACTTATAATCATTTTTGGAAACCTTTTTAGATTAGTGACTTTATGCTTGCCGTTATTGTAGATAGTTAAGAGGATATTGAAGATTGAAGTACTGGACTGGAGAGTATGATAAGATAGTTGTTAACTATGATATCATTTTTGTAGACTTGAATTGTATAGAAGTGTGATTGGCTCAGTTCCATTAGTTGAGATAGTATTGATAAGTTAGGTTGAAGATATACTATATACATGTGGTGTAAATTATTTTGCTGTTAACTCAATTCCCAAAATCCTCAAAAATAATTGTGTCATAACTCAATTATTTATATGTTTTAATAGTGACTCAA